ATAGTAGTTAGTTAGTAGATAGATAGATAGATAGATAGATAGTAGTTAGATAGATTAGATAGCTAGATAGATAGATAGATAGATAGATAGATAGATAGATAGATAGATAGATAGATAGATAGATAGATAGATAGATAGATAGATAGATAAGATAGATAGATAGATAGTAGATAGATAGATAGATAGATAGATAGATAGATAGATAGATAGATAGATAGATAGATAGATAGATAGATAGATAGATAGATAGATAGATAGATAGATAGATAGATAGATAGATAGATAGATAGATAGATAGATAGATAGATAGATAGATAGATAGATAGATAGATAGATAGATAGATAGATAGATAGATAGATAGATAGATAGATAGATAGATAGATAGATAGATAGATAGATAGATAGATAGATAGATAGATAGATAGAATAGATAGATAGATAGATAGATATATAGATAGTTACTGATATAGAAATTCAAAAACTATTAACTCGCCAATTTTCTTTTCCCGCCATCTGGTACCTTTGCAAATTAATGCAATTACCTAAAAAGTGATGCCAACTTAATATAAACAAAAATAAAAATCGTTGAATGTTTTCTTTTCGATTACTTTAAACTTTATTGAACTATTTTTAAACCTATTTCTCTCAAACCGCAATCAATGGTTAAAATTATGGTTTTATTTATATATATAATTTTTCTTATCGCTGCAAAATGCCAACCAACTGAACACTAAATACATAAAAAAATAAAAAAAATGGCAGTTTTTTTATTTTTTCTTAAAATACTTTAAAAAGCAAATAAAATTATTTGTTATTTTAAAACTTTATCATCATATAATAACACTTTAATTACATATAATGGCACAAAACAAACAATTGCAATGAAATGAAACAGAGATAGCTAAGTGTATTAAAAAAGTATTAATTAAAGGAATTAACACGCTAAATTGGCAATATTTCTTTTTTTATAACAAATTACATACTTTTTTCTTTAATTCCTAACAAAATCTGTCATAAATTTATTGAAAATTTTTATTAAAATTAAAAAAAATAAAAATTTCTTCTATATTTTCGCTTAAAATCACCAATTTTTTATTACCTTGCATCTGGTAGCGTTCTCAATGTATTTGCTCTTTTGAACATCTGGTAGCTTTAACTAGTGAGAGGCTTACATCTAAAGCAGTGTTGCTAACTTTAAATATCTCAAATACACCAAGCAATTAAAACAAACAAAGATAAAACTTTAAATATTAGATAATTTTTATTAAAACACTATTTTTATTCGAAATAAAAACATGAGCATTTGGATTTGTTAAATTTTGAACAATTTTAAAGCCGCTAAATTTGCATTACTTAAACGTAAGTGCAATTAATAAATGAACTGAAATAAAATTAAATATAAATTAAATAAAAACGAATAATACTATAAGTATGTATTATTATTATAAAAAAAACAGTTCAACAAGGCAAACAACATCACTGATAAAAGCCTTGAGAGGGGTACAACAACAACAATGTATAAATATGAGAGTTTTTATTTATTTAATTTAATTTTTTTCTTACTACATAATTAAACAGATTTTTATTTTCTTTCTAATAGAAAACGAATATTAAAGGTCTTAAATTGTAAAGAAAAAATGAGGGGGGGGGTCAGGAGACTCTTACAAAGTGTGGCAAGGGAATTTGACTTTATGAATTCTAATTTATACTCACAAACTTAAGCTTTATTAATTAATTGTTTGTTTTCTAATATTAATTATTTATACCCTAATATTTACAAGGACTTTATAAAGGATTTCTTTATTTAGCTAATTAGTTTATTTAAGATTTTTTTTATTTATTTATACAATTAATGGAAATTGTTTTCTAAATAAATTACAATTAATAACGCTATAGCTATTTAATTCAAAAAAAATATGTAAAAATTATTGCATATTTTTAGGCAATTAAACTTAAAGCTAACATTAAACGAAAAACTTGTTTTCCCCTAGGGATTTGCAACATTTCAAATAAACATTTGACTGCTAAACCTAAACTTTTCCCACAAGTATTTTATTTATTTCTTTAGATCCCTAGAGCATAATATTTCTTTTGTAATTAAGCCTACAAATTGTCCTTTATTTTTCTTTTTTTTCTTAAAAAACGCATTAATTTTTCAAGAGATTTTTATTCATGTTAATATTAGACATATAATTTTTTCATCTTAACAATAAAATTGAGAAGGTCAGTTGGAAGGCAACCACAAAAACCAAAAAAAATTGTATTAAACTTCCACTCACTCTCTCTCTCTCTCTCTCTGTATCTCTCTTTTAACATATTCTACTACATTTAAAAAAATCTAGTAGACATATACTTAGTTATAAAAACTTATCCTTAAAATATACAGAAATACCAAAAATATTCTACTTAACACGTGCCCCTATGCACATGCTTTATAACAAACAATTCTCGTGAACACCCTAAATGTAGGCTACAGATAAATGAGTACTAAAGTAATAGTAGTATTGGGAAAAAAATTCTGTATGTATACTAAAATTCGCAGAAAATGAAAATATATGAAAATATATGTTCAATGAATGAATGTTTTTTCTGGGGGAGTGTATCTAGGGGGGTTTTTATAGTACAAGTGAAAGTAAAAGTTAAATCGTTCGGTTTTTGTTAAAAACGAGTTTATTATTCATATGTATATGTATCTCGTGTTTTGTGGCCTATGACGCAAATGTTTGACTTTAGGTATGATGTTTTTTCTTAATTTTTCTTTGTTTTGTGAGACTTATTTTGTAATCTGTATGTTAATTTTTCTGATTAGAAATTCGTTTCTTTTATTTTAGATTTAATTTATACAGAGGATGTGAAGTTTTTTTATATATATAGCTAACCTTAATGTATGCAATAAAATACTGACTGATTACAGTCTGTGTACACTTACTTATTACTTACTTACTTACTTACTTACTTACTTACTTACTTACTTACTTACTTACTTACTTACTTACTTACTTACTTACTTCTTACTTACTTACTTACTTACTTACTTACTTACTTACTTACTACTTACTTACTTACTTACTTACTTACTTACTTACTTACTTACTTACTTACTTACTTACTTACTTACTTACTTACTTACGTACTTACTTACTTACTTACTTACTTACTTACTTACTTACTTACTTACTTACTTACTTACTTACTTACTTACTTACTTACTTACTTACTTACTACTTACTTACTTACTTACTTACTTACTACTTACTTACTTACTTACTTACTTACTTACTTACTTACTTACTTACTTACTTACTTACTTACTTACTTACTTACTTACTTACTTACTTACTTACTTACTTACTTACTTACTTACTTACTTACTTACTTACTTACTTACTTACTTACGTACTTACTTACTTCTTACTTACTTACTTACTTACTTACTTACTTACTTACTTACTTACTTACTTACTTACTTACTTACTTACTTACTTACTTACTTACTTACTTACTTACTACTTACTTACTTACTTACTTACTTACTTACTTACTTACTTACTTACTTACTTACTTACTTACTTACTTACTTATTACTTACTTACTTACTTACTTACTTACTTACTTACTTACTTACTTACTTACTTACTTACTTACTTACTTACTTACTTACTTACTTACTTACTTACTTACTTACTTACTTACTTACTTACTTACTTACTTACTTACTACTTACTTACTTACTTACTTACTTACTTACTTACTTACTTACTTACTTACTTACTTACTTACTTACTTACTTACTTACTTACTTACTTACTTACTTACTTACTTACTTACTTACTTACTTACTTACTTACTTACTTACTTACTTACTTACTTACTTACTTACTTACTTACTTACTTACTTACTTACTTACTTACTTACTTACTTACTTACTTACTTACTTACTTACTTACTTACTTCTTACTTACTTACTTACTTACTTACTTTACTTACTTACTTACTTACTTACTTACTTACTTACTTACTTACTTACTTACTTACTTACTTACTTACTTACTTACTTACTTACTTACTTACTTACTTACTTACTTACTTACTTACTTACTTACTTACTTACTTACTTACTTACTTACTTACTTACTTACTTACTTACTTACTTACTTACTTACTTACTTACTTACTTACTTACTTACTTACTTACTTACTTACTTACTTACTTACTTACTACTTACTTACTTACTTACTTACTTACTTACTTACTTACTTACTTACACTTACTTACTTACTTACTTACTTACTTACTTACTTACTTACTTACTTACTTACTTACTTACTTACTTACTTACTTACTTACTTACTTACTTACTTACTTACTTACTACTTACTTACTTACTTACTTACTTACTTACTTACTTACTTACTTACTTACTTACTTACTTACTTACTACTTACTTACTTACTTACTTACTTACTTACTTACTTACTTACTTACTTACTTACTTACTTACTTACTACTTACTTACTTACTTACTTACTTACTTACTTACTTACTTACTTACTTACTTACTTAAATCTTTTAAATTTAAAGCAAAACGCCATCTCTGTTTAATGTTAAACTTTATCAATAAAAGCAAATTATTTAAAATGTGCTGGTGGTGGCTGACGATGATGACTTAATTGAAAAACAATTGTTAAATTTCTATATAGAATTATTTTAATAATTCTTTTACTGATTGCTTATTCACATTATGTTTAAATACACATTTTGTTCTTTTTATTTTTTTTTTTTTTTTGAGTTATTCTACAAAAACAATAGCAATGTTTGTAGCATTGACGTTTCATTTTACTAGACTAGACAATGCTAAAATTAAAAAATTTAAATAAATTAAACAAAAAATAACAAAAACAACCGGCAAAAATATAAATTTGATAAATAATACACACATGTAGTATAAAATTATATATAACATGAGCACACAACAAATAACTTTGACTTATTTACAGGCCGTTCAACTGTCGTCATATACAACAATTTATTGCATTATTATTGCAGTGTACTGCAACAAGCATGTTATTATTGTTGTTGGTTTTTCACTGCAATAACGAAGGTGGTTTGTGTGAATAAGTCTATGGTTTCTCCCTCTTTCCCCCTTAAAACACCCACATACAATTACAATAAGTATAGCTGCTGCTTGAGATAGTAAAATAATAACAACAACAATTAAACACCATAAATGTAAATAAAAAGACTTGAAATATAAAAAACAATTACAGTGTTGCATTTTGGCAATAAAATAAAAACAAACCAAAAGAAAACAAATTAGCAGTTATTTACCAAAATTAAAGCCAAACATATATGTACCTCAATAATAAAATGAAAACAAAAGCTCTCTTGAATTTATAATAAAAAGAGAACGAGAGAGAACTACTAGTGATAGGTCAATTTCACACATAGTGTGAGTGTTTGTTTAACAAATAGAATTTTAATTTTGTAAACAGGAGAATAACAAAGTGTGATACTTTAATATCCACTAGAGAGTGAATGTGTATGTCTAGTTTTGTAAACAAGTGTAGAAAAAGTGAGAGAAAAAAAAAACAATTTCTTATAAGGCAAATGTATTGAAAAAGCAATTGTCATTTTAGTATTGATACAGCTGTTAGAGGCAGCTTTCACACACAATATTTCTTCCAAAAAAATAACGAAAATTATTAAATAATAAAAAAAGTTATAATAAATAAAAAGCAAAAACAATGTGACTTTAAAGTTGTAAAGTATTTATACAGAAAAAAACTGAAGTGTCTTAAATATTTTAACTAAAGTGTTAACAAAAAGAAAACTAAAAACAAAAATTAATTTTTTAACAAAAAAACTCACAAACCAAGTGCTTAATATTATAATATAAACAAAAAAAACTAAACTACCAATATGCATGGCATAACACATTTATATCGCCAGCATGCCATAGAAAAGCAGCTGAGCGCTGACTGCTGGCAAAACGGTGGCGGTGGTATTGGTGCCGATTCCAGCAGTCACCATCATCAAAATACAACTTCCTATGGCCGCAGTTATGTACGTGATAATGTTAGCATGAATTCTACCTCGGAATATGGTTCTCTAAAAGGAACCAGCCGTTTGAGCAGCATAGATTCTAGTTCTAGCTCTAGTTCCTCATCAAATTCAAAATCACCCAATTGGTCTCAGGGTAAGTTTGTGTTTGTTGTTGGAGTTTAGTGGAAAGAAAACGTTGTCACAGAAGAGTGTTTAAAGGATTTAATGGATACAAATCAAATATTAAAATGAATTGCAAACAATTTGACTAAGAAAAAGTAAAAACAATCTTTTCAAGCAGGGATGGGAAATTTAGTGCTATTGTACATCGAACGTTATTTGTTTCAAGTCATGAATAAACTAAAAATTGTTAAAAAAAAGTATGCAAATGTGTCTGATCTACAGCACAGTCTAAAATTGGGTTTATATTCTAGTCAATTATATAGTCCGGTCTATAGTCTACCTTATTGTCTAGTATATAGTTCAGTCTATAGTCTAGTCTATATTCAAGTTTATAGACTAGTCCATAGTCTAGTCTATAGTCTGGTCTATAGTCAAATATATAGTCTAGTCTATAGGCTAGTCCATAATGTATCAGAAATGAAGAAGTATCTGGCAAAATACATACATACATACAAATACAAGAAAAACACAAAGATAATTTTCATGAAAAAAGAACATTTATATTTTTACAATAATTTTTTAAACATCAAGAACAATTCGCGTCCCTCCTTTAAACACGCTCCTTAAGACAGCAAAATCCCCCAAAAGACCGTCTTCCATCTCTATAACTCCAACTCTCCCCTTCCATAGACAAAGTAATTGAAAGTTTGGTTAATGCCTCAAGTCCACAACCGGTGCCGGACACCCAAAAGTCGATAACAAATCATTATCGTAATTCACCCACCCACAATGGGGCACGCAGTTCCTATGACAGCTATGGCAGCAGTTTCAAGCGAACACCTTCCTCGAAACGCAGCATTTTTGAAAGATCACACAGTCCCGCCGTTTATGGTGTAAGTAAAAAAAAGCTAAATAAATTCAAATAAATAAAAATCAATAAACATGAATCAATTCTCAGAGTCTACGCAAACCAAATCTACAGGATTTTAATAATTCACCACCCAGCCAAGGTGGTTACTTCCCACACGATCTTGACGACATCTATGAAAGTAAACAGGATCATCAGTATTTCACCTATTCGGGGCACTCAACACAGCGTCAAGAACGACCCAGCATTAATTCAATATTTCATCGTGTGGGTGCCGCGCCCGCCTCTCTTGATGAGTACTCCAGTAGTCCCATGAGACATTCTCTAGATAGTGGCTGCGTGAATATACCACGCTATCGTTTCGATAATACTAGTTTTGTTAAATCTCTAAGTATTAATGAAGATGAAACCTCCTCACCCAAGGATCACAAACATAAGCACAAGGATAAGCATGAGCATCATGGTCACCATGGTCATCATCATTCAATACAGGAATTACTTAAACATTTTGGTAAAAAGGTGCACATTTGGCCACGTAAATCTCATGATAATACAGCGAGTAGTGTTTGTACTTCACCACAAAATGATCCTCAGGAAAATTTTCGTTCAAGATCGAAAAGTTTAGATGTCAATACGATTAATAGACCCAATCGAATTTTAGAAGATTGTGGTGCCACCTATAAGATATTCGATAAAATTGTAAAAGAAGGTAATTCAAAGGGTAAGGGGATTTTGTTAATAATAACTTGTTGTTGTTTGTAGTAGTATTCAAAATTTTTCATGTTTTGGTACTTGCACATTTTAATTTTTTCCCCCGTTTTATTAATAATTTTAATAGTTGTAAAAATAATTTGTATTTGCAAGTGTTTTTAATGGAAAATTTTGTATGAATTTTTCTTTGCGTTTAGGTGCTCATATGCGTCGTGCTTCAGCTGATTTGGAAAAACGACGTGCTTCAGTTGGTGCTGCCAGTCGGGGATTACGTGGTGATGGTACTTTAGATCCACATCATGCCGCAATATTATTTAGAGATTCAAGAGGGGTAAGTTTTCATATTTTTTTATATATTTTTAAGTGAAGTGAATAGAAAAGGTTTCGGGAATATTATTTTGATATAATTTACTAATTTTGTACTCGGGTTAAAATGTTTCCATTGAAGAAATCGTGGAAATTCTGTTAAGGCAGAAAGTCTTTCAATATTGATCTTTAATTACACATAATTATTGACGAATTAAATTTTCTTACGTCTTTGTTAGTCCTTATAATGTTCGAAGAGAGCACGGTTCTAAAACATTAATTAAGGATATTACTGGAAGGATTTAAATTTGCCTCCTGAGGTAAATGAAGATTGCCTACTCATCTTAAAACTGAGTAATTCCAAATGTAGAGCGATCGACGGAATGATTTTAAAGTATTCGACTGTTAGTTGTCGACCATAGAGCTGGGTTCATACTTCTCTTCCCAAATCATAAATTAAATTAAGTTCCTGGAGTAGTGAAATCTATAAATTTACTTAATCCAAAGTCGAGCTTCCTTTAATGACGATTTAGCTATTTCTATAGTTTTCTCAAGCTGGAGATAAAAGATCATTTCGAACAATCTGGAAAACTATAATATGAAGTGATTTATTCAATCAAAATTAGATTTATATTTGAAAGATAATACCAACTGTTGAAGTTAAATATTTGTTTCCTTAGTATCCGAGGGAACGCACTTTTCAAACCGAACATTAACCAGAGTTTAGACGAATCACAATTCTTTTACTCTGATCATTTCACTAAGAATTGTTGCGAATTTAGTATTAAATCTATGAGCGGATTGTACCGAAATTTTAATAAGAATTCATGTGTCTTCATACAGATGTGATTTTCTCTTGTATGGTGATGTATTATAATTTTCCTAAAATCTTCCTTCCCGAACAAACCAAAGAACTAGACTAGTTGTCAACTGCATTTCATTAAAGTTATTTCCAAGGAAAGGACTCTATCGACAGCTACAAATTTGATCATCTCACTGAGAACAGCTCGAACTCGAAAGTTATTTCCAAGAGAAGGACTCTATCGACAGCTACAAATTTAATCATCTCATTGAGATCATCTCATCGATACGGAATCATAACAATAGAAACCAAGATGCCAATTACCACCTTATTTTCCAAATTTAAATTTCATTGGGATGCCAAGTGGTTGACTTATTTGTGGTACTCGCCATAAAATTGTTTATAAACTAGACATCCTGGATAACTGTAAAGTAAAAATTAAAAGCATCAATCAATTGACAAACTAATTAATCAATAAGAAAGAACTATTCGTTTTGTGAGTTTAAATTCCATAAATTATTTCGGACATTGTAGATGTTCTGACATTTAGGACATCGTAGATGTTCTGTTGCAGATTCACAGTCGATAAAATTCGATAAAATTCCTTCTTTGGCCGATCGTGTCTCCTCGAGTTGAAGTTTTGTATTCCTTTTTAGTGACAAACTCTGTAGTTTTATGTCGAAGTCATCATTTACTTCTTTACACAAACGTTCGTATGTAAATGAAACCCTAGACATCCAAGCCAGATGGAATAGACCAGCTTTATGGGAGTACGAACTTTTTAACGCTACGTTTGATGAATTACACTTTCAAAATTGTGTGTAGGTTTAGGTCAGAAGAACTCTAACCGTCAGTTTGATTTCGAGTACTGCTGGATTACAGTATATAAGCCCTCAATTGAAGAAAACGCTTGGGATGTATTAAAGTCCATATTTTATATAAAATCTGATCATCCTGACATCCTGGATTAATGACGAAATAGTTTTCACTTGAGATGTATTGAATTTCTGATGCTAAACGAGTTCGGAAGCTGAGCAACACTCAAAGTATGGTTGAAATCCTAGAAATTCCAATTCATCGAGCAGACATATGGAAGATCTGTAAAAACAGTCTATTAAAACATGATACTACTTCTTCAATTGTATTACCATTTCATAAAATTATTGTAGACAATTTTAAAGACCACCAATGCCAAAACGACCTCACGGCATTATAGAGAATTTCAGATAATTCCAGCCATTAATAAGACATTCTTACTCCTATAGAGTTATTTCCATTTCATACAATCTTTGGAGCCAGGTTTAGCTACTAAGTAGAATCTAAGACTTCTTAGCATTAAGGGACATTTCTGAAAGATTTCAATCATAAAGTAGAAATTGTGAGAATTTCCGCTATGGATTAAACTTTCTGGAAATCTGCAAAAATAATATATCGAATCACTACTGCTGCAACTTCGTATTTCATGGTGTTTGCAAAGTTCAGAGATTAAGTAGAATCTAAGACATCTTATTGATAGCAGAGTTAGATGAATTTTCCTAGAAATCTGCAAAAAATAATAGATAAATCTTTGCTGCTACTTCTTAAAATGGCTTACCATTTCATAGTGTCTATAGTGACCAATTCATAGATAAAGACATCTTGTAAGACTGCAGAAAAAGGTGATTTCCAGTTATGAAGAATATATCCAGTAAATAACATCAATCCTTATTCTTACGACTTTGGATGAATGACCATTTTATAGCTTTTTATTAAACGCCAAAGACATCGGAGATTAAGTAGAAATCCTCTGAATTTCGTCCTACGTATACTCATTATAAGTTGTTTAAACTGTATAACTTCCGTATAAAGCCACTTTGGAAACGATTAGAATTTTAGTAGATATTCCGTAAATCGGGGGAGTTGCTCTGTACCTCGATTCAAATGTAAGTTTTCTTTTCGAATCGAAGTAGAGAGTAACCCCCTTGTAAGTTGACACTTTGGTACGTAGTACACAGTTTTTATATCTTAGACATTTTGAAGCAAGTGCAAAATGCAAGAATATCCAGTTCACATTATAGCTTTTCTTAACTTCAATCTCACTATTTGAAAATAACTGAAGATTTGAAGTTTGTTCAGAGCCAAGTTATTAATATAAGGGACCTCTTGGACATAGTGGTAGCAATTATAATTCCTTGGAAATTCAATCATCAAATGGTTATTCTGGAAATCGGCAATGAATCATCTTCACCGCTTCCCTCGTTGGAATTGTATTCAGAATCTTTGCAACATCTAAGTAAGTCAATTTTGAAAATAGTGGTAATCGTTGTAACCAGTAGAAATCCTTGGAAGTTCAGTTATCAATTAAGGATTCTGGAAATCGGTAGCTAATGAAGTTTCTGTCAGACCTTAGTAGCAAAGAGTTGAAGTTTTGTACCATCATTAGAATAATATGCGGAATCTAAGTAAGCCTTCTGGATTTTCTGGACTTTGTCTTCATTTCTGAGTATCGCTCTTGCTGATGAATATAAGTTTCGTAGCTTTATAGAAATTAGATGTAGAATCTTAGTGACAACTAAGTTATTCTACACTCTAATAAAAATCCATTGAATTACATTATGAATTCCATAACAATATTCCACGTTATCGATACTTCAGATGAGTTGACGCTTTAAAGGTCCTTTGGAGTAGAGTTCAGACATCAAGATAATCCAGGAGCAAATAGAAATCCTGATTACTTCAGGACATACGGAACGTCTCTCTCACCACTTTAAATCAATAGTAATGCTTCATAACATAGTAATATGCTGAAAGGAACTATAAATCCTGGAAACCTCCAGTATTTTCTGAAAATTAGTAAATATCTAAAGTAGAAGTAAAGAGGAAAATATTCCTCGTCACTGCTACTTCAATACATATTCATAACTCTTTTCAAATTGAGTTTAGAGACTTTAGACCTCTGAACTCGTAGTAGAAATTAGAAACATCTCTGAGAATTCGAAGCAACCGTAGAGGGTTACAGTATTGTAGTATATTAGTAAATATCTGAAAGTAGGAGTAATGAGGAAAATATAATTTCTCGTTACTACTACTTCAATACAGATTCATAACCCTTTTGAAGTTGAGTTTAGAGACTTTAGACCTCTGAACTCCTAGTAGAAACTTCGCTGAGAATCCACAGGCAACCGTGTGGAGGGATCCATTATTGTGCGAAAAGTATGTAAAAATCCATAGTATATCGGTTATCGAATACATCAATTTTGGCGTCTCAGCATTAGACATCTTCGTTGTGCTTATGCAGCCTTCTTGTTCCAAATTTTCCGGAAAGCCAGTGAAATCCATAGAATTTCAATTAACGTGTAGACATCGTTGAAAACTCTTATCAAATTCATCACTCCTTGGTGCCTCTACAGGAACATATTTCAACGCATAGTTGAGTTTCTAAAGGTTTACTGAAAAGTTTAGGGACTTGACATCAAGTCGTTATTCTGGAACTTTCTTATCAAATGCTACAATCTTCATGGTATCTTTGAAAACGTTGGCCAAATTTCTTTCATCGTACTATTAATTTGAGATCCCTCTTGCAGCCAGCACAACATCTTTCTTCATTTCAATATATTTAGTTTTTTGTGGTTCTCAAAACAGCCTGAAGCTTGAAAAAGTTGCACACAAATTTGGGAACAAATTGATGTTCCAAAATTACGGACATCTAGTCGACAGCCGGGAATTTGACAACCACACATAGTACCGCTACTATAGCAAATCTTCATGGTCCCATTGGAAACGTTCGCAGGGAAAAGTAATTTCCCTAATCTTTATGTAGTTTCTGGTCTTCAGAAACTTCTTCAACCATTTCTTCGAAAGTTGAGCAGCAGTCGTATTATCTCTTCCTTCTCAAGCCTCATCAACACCTTGGTACGTTTCATCATCTCCAGTCTTCGTCTCTTGCCAATTAAGAAATACGTTGTCATCTTGTTGAGTGATCGCTGTACACTGATTTTCTGTTTGAATTTGAAACCTTAAGAACCTACTATGAAAATTGTCAAAGTTATGGCGAACTACCTGCTTGCAGGGACAGCTGCTTGCTTGTTCCTGCTAATTACTTAAGAACCCTTAAATACTTAAAATTAAAAGAAAACAGTCTTAGGCATTAAAATAAAATTAAGATTAAGGAAATTTCTATTAGCAGCTGTGCAAAATATGCCGATTTTTTTCTTACCTGGGTTTTAAAAAGAAAGAAAACAATATTATAATTTAAAATTTCTAGCAAATGTTTTACCACCGAAGATATTTTTTTATGTTTTAATACACGTTTTTGATGCTCCAGTTCATGTACTAAACATGATTGTACTTCATTTCATTTGAAATTTGTCATTGTCATTTGTTTTATGGCTCCAAATCTTATGGAGGCCTGCACAGATGATAAGGTCGATGATTGTATCGACATAGAGCATTTTCTCAGAACCTCTGACCCTCTTGGTCTAGAGATAGACCTTAGTCGAAGCGAGCAGGAGGGGCACAATTCAGAGAAGGGACTCTATGT